CCACCGACCGGCCCCAAGCACCCACTGACCGGCCCCAAGCACCCACCACCGACCGGCCCCAAGCACCCACCGACACCCGTTCGCCCCAAGCACCCACCGACCGGGCCCAAGCACCCACCGACAGCCAACGACAAAGGGCCTCGCTGCACTACTCTCAACATTCACAAAAAACAAAAATCATGACCGTGTATCTCCGTATTTCAAGAGTAGTGCAGCGAGGCCCAAAGCATATAAGAGAACGCAAAAACGAAACGAAACCGGACTCGCCCGAGAAAAAAACAAACGCCAAATGCATCAGATGCATCAGGCGTCAGAATTTTACATCGGACGTCTCACGCTTCGCGATGCAAACGATCGCGCGTCAGAATTTTACATCAGACGTCTCACGCTTCACGATGCAAAAACACTAACATGGGCCATTGCAGATGCGAGACTCGGTGCCGCGGCCGATAAGCCTTAGTAGGGTTGTTTGATATATATATATATAAAGTTCGGTAAAGAATTTTGATGTGACCCTGAGGCAAAAGTTGTTTATTGTTCTGCATAACATTATTAACATAGTATTTTTTTTGGATTTTTTTTTACTTTTATTGTTTTTTGCTGGGACCTTCCCTGGTCCTTGCACGGCCGGGCCGCCCGGGAAAATAGGGTGACCCGGGCAGCACGGCTGGTAGCCTAGGCATAACATAGTTTTTCTAACTTTTTTCGGATGATTTTGATTTTTTTTATTTTTTTTTGGCTGGGACCTTTCCTGGTCCTTGCACGGGTGTGGGCAACCAAGGTGACTCGGGGCGGCCTGGCTGGTAGCCCAGGTTGACACGATGAAATCAATGAAAGAATGGAGACTCATTCATTTCATAGTCCAAGCTCCATAGCATTCTTGGACACCCCTATGACAGTGTCCTGTGGTATCATCTCAACACAAACACATGGGTGCAACAGCAACTCATCAGGTAAACACCTTACCGGTCTATACTCGCAGTCCAATCATGTCTCCCTCGCAGTCTAATCTGGAACTCCTGACTGAAATTATGATCATCACTACTTTATGCAAATGCATGTGTAATTTGCACCCCTGGGAGACAAAGGGAATGCTACTGACGGGTGGTGGGCAGGGAGTGAATTGGTCCTTAAACGACCAGCACCTCGCTCAGGCAAACCTCAGACTCGCTCAGGCAAACCTCAGACTCGAAGTTACACAATCTGGGTTCTTCAGATGAACAGTGCCACTACCGGGGACCCACATGGCTGACACCGCCAGCCAAAAAAGAAAAGAAATGTGCCACCGGCGGTACTTTTTTTTTTTTTTTTTTTTTGGGGGGGGGGGGGGGGGGGGGGGGCATGCAGTGGTGGATTGAACCACCAGTACACCCGGGCCTGGAGGTGCTGCGCTGCGCGCCAAGCATTTCCGAATCGCCAGTGCCGCACTTTTTTATTTCTTGCCTGGCGCTGCCAGCCATTGTGGTCCGGTAGGCCTGACCCGTGAAGTTTTCGGAGAAGGCGATGGACAATTTTTTGAAAGGCTGGGGCCGCGTTCTGGGGGGTTAAGGAAACCCTGAAAGGCAGTGTGATGGGCTACTCAAAGTGACGAGATTTGGATTATAGCGCAGCGTTGCAGGTTCCCAACCATTCTCCTACTGAAGTTCAGAACAAGAGCTCACGACCGTTCAGGATTTTTTTTTTCTTTCACTCTTTCTTTTTTTGTGCTGGTGCACAGGCCATGGTAATATTATTCCCTGTTTCGTTCTAATTCTAACAGATAACCTAATTTACCGCAGTGTTATCGATTCCTTCTTTCTTAAGCTTAGATCACCAAGGAAATTCTAATTTTGGGAAACAGAATTAGCATAGGAACTTTCACGGCTGATACACGCATCCTTCACCAGAAGATTCCATCTACACTACGGTGAATGTTGCGCGATCAGAAGGCTGTGCACCGATCACACCGCCAGCCACTCGTTAACCTTTTTCCGAATAACAGATACTTGGTCACAGGTTCAAATCCTGTAGGATGCTGAATTCTTCGCAGTGCTTTTTACAATGCCATAACTTTTGGTTAAGGAATCAGAACGCCTAGGAAGTAGTGCATTATGTGCAGCACCAATTACTCATTCGCCATCATTTGTTTGACTGATGGATCCTTGCAGTACTTTTTCAGAACACCATAATATGTTCGGCGAGGTTGCATAATCAGTTGTTAATGCTCAATGTAAGAGCATCCTCCTTTTAACTTCGAACTCCCCCAACCCACCACCCCACCCCAAAACAGGCAACATGGGAATACGAGTCAGCGGGGTTCAGGGTTTTTTGTATGTCCATGACACACGAGATCGCACCTTAATTATTAAGCAGCACCTGTTGCAAATAAAGCATTGAATCGAATCCACGAGCAGTATTGGTCGCATGACCACCGAGTCGCCCGGAAAAGATCAGTCAGCCAAACAGTGACAACACATGAACCACACATTACCATATCAGGATGAACTCAACAACAAGCAAGAGAACATCGACGTCTTTTTCATTTGGGGGGGCAGAGAGGGAGGGGGGGGGAGAAAGAAAACCAGCAAGCAAAAGCGCACAAAGGAACGTGGTTATCGATCCGTACATCTGGGAGCCCTCCTTCGTGCAAGCACGGATTCGAACCGGTGACCTCGGCCTCAAGCGCCAAGTCTCTTAACAACTACAGCCAGGACACCATGTATTCAAAAGTGAAACCACACCAGGCGTGATATCCCCCACACCCCTGCAAGGCTGCTGTGTCCAACTCAACAGGCACCACACACAACACCATACGGACACGGTAATTCTCGCACAACGCTGCAGTGTCCAACTGAACACACACAACACCACACGTACGCAGCAATTCTCACAACCTTGACACGACCGTAGCTGGCTCTATTTTTATTTGTTGTTTCTTTCCTCAGGACTACTCAACTCTTGGCCATCACATGACGATTTCAAGAAAGTCTTCGCCGGAATGAGTTCGTATGGTGACGTAGGTTTTCTGGATATGGAAGTCCAGAGATTTTGCCTATCCTATGCCTCCGGGAGTGACACTCACGATCAACTGGTTCCCAAAATTGAGTCGGCGAGCGGCCGTACTTTTTTCTGGTTTCCTGCTGATGTCCCAATGTGGCGCGGCTCACCAGCAGAGCTGGGCAGGCCTACGCGCTTTTTGAGGACAACACTTTCGGAAGTTTCGAGAAATGCAAACATAGACAGGTTTGGAGACCACTATCCTTTTTGAGGCTTTTTCCAATATCACACTACAACAATACCATTCGTGCTGCCAAAAACCTTCACATAACAGAGGCAACAAAGTTTTTGCACACAACAAATCCCCCATTTTTATTTTTATTTTCACTCAAGGCTACAATCATTACGGAGCCAAACGAGAAAGCCTCTGAACTGATGAGAACAGCATGCACAAAATTGGAGACCATGCTTTCGGTTAGGACTCATACAACCAAGATGGAAAAGACACAAAAAAAAAGGGAAAAAAGAAGGGGAAACGGTCGGCATAGGATCCACTTACTCTATGAAATTGTCCAATGCAATTCCTGCCCCCCTTCCGCTTCTATCAAACTTTCTAACCTAAAAAGGTGACAACAACAGAAAGAACCAAAACAACACAACAAAGGATGAACTCTCAGCTCCATAATAGTCTACGTGTCCATTTCTCAAAGAATCTCACACTTCCAACTGCTCAGGTACCGGTTCAGACTTTCAACTCAGAAAACACAGAACATAAGATGACAAATTATTCTTCTTTTACGTAAAGAGAAAAAGACCAAAAAAAAAATGGACTGCCAAATAGAGCCATGAGAACACCAAGGAGAGTGGATATGTGACTTCACCCTCCATCCATTTAGTCCATCCAAAACTCAATCCCTCTCAACTGTAACAGAAATTATCGCACAGAGGAATATCGCACCATAGATTCCGCACATTTACTGTTATATTGTCCCTTATGATTTAAGGAGCATCCACTCTTTAGCAGTAGCTATTGCACAAAGGCATAGCTCATCATAGATTCACTACACACTATAGTTAAGGGGAAAGAGGAGAAATTTGGTATCCCATAGAACTTGGTCAATACATAATATCCAAAACTTCAACAGTGGAAACCATTGCACTCCACTGGCATATACAAATCCCACGGGCGGGCTTCAGGTTGATCTCACGATGCTTGTGGGCTGGGCTTCATCCAAGTGTCTGTCTGAGTTCCCACTGAGGGGTCGACTGGGGTGTGAGTCTGGGGAAGGGCTTCTAGGTAGGGTGTCGTCTTAGGCAGGGGGGAGGAGGGTTGTCGCATTGATGTAGAAGGGTGGCTTCGCCACCCATAGAGCCTGCACGATGTGATACAGAGGGGGGCGGGGGGGGGGGGGGGGGGGGGGGGGGGGGGGGGGGGGGGGGGGGGGGGGGGGGGGGGGGGGGGCCGGGAATGACCATGTATATCCATGACCCCTCCTGTATCCGTGTCGTCCTCGAGATCCGGGGTGCCCCTATAGTAGCGCCCGGGGGGAAGTGTCTATGACCCCTCGGAAGGTGCAGCCTGGTGTAGGTCTAGGTCTACAGACAGAGGTCTGGGTCACACCGCTGTAGGGATCAACTTGCGATAAGATTACGAATCTAGGATATAACAGGTCACGAATGACACCCCCTGGAGGAAGACAGTCGATTGGGGTTGCCACAAGCCCATCCGATCCCCTCAATGGTTGAGTACGACGACAGACACCTCCCGAGGCCTAGCCTCCACCCTCAACCACGACATGGACCTTTAAAAAAAAAAAGGAGAGGCGAAACTCGAAGGTCAAGCTTTTTTTTTCCCCCCCCCCCACTAAAAGGTCAAGCTTCACCTCTTGTTCAGTCCCTTTTTGCCTCCCTCTACACACCCCTTCTCCCTCAGTATTTCAGATTTCTCATCTCTTAGGTTCCATTGCATCCATCCTCTGCACTCGCTTTGCTTGTGAATATGTCAGTGCGACTTCGCTCGAAAGTATAAATGATGCACTGGCCCATCTGCACATCGAACTGCATTCTAAGATAGCCATCTGTGCCACAATCTCACTCTCCTCCCCCATGTCTTCTTGTCAAACCTTTTGGTCGACTTTTTTCTAACTACCCTTCTCATTTAAGAACATCCCTCCTCCATTTTCCAGATGAAGCAAAGTCCTTGACAACAAGTAACTATCTTCAGCCTAACAGGACAAGCCGGGAAAACAGTGTATAATAGAAGGTGTAGTCTAATATACTGCATTCCCTCCTGTGGAACACTGGGTAACGACAGACGCAGAATTTGCTGTTGTAGCACAGTAGAGCGAGACAATATCCAGGAGGACAGCAAAACACGTACCAGCAAAGAAAGTAGAGTAGGGCTGATAGAGTAGCCGAAAGCCCTGAAGGCTTCCCCAAGCTCACGGGCATCAATGAAACCACTCCTATCTTGGTCGAACCGCAAGAAAACAACCTGCATTCAATGAGGGGAAAAAAGAAAATAACAAACGGAAAGGCGAAAGAAAGGAGACGAGAAAGTGAGTAACCCATTATCACAACTTCACAAACGGAAAGGCGACAAAACGGAGACGAGAGAGCGAGTGACCCATTACCGCAATTCCAAACATTCGTCCTCCATCCCAAAAGACTTCAGCCGGGTGAAATTAAAGAGCATCCGTTAAAATTGGAACGACATAGAGAAGATTCGCATGGCCCCTGTGCAAGGATCACACGCATAAATCGAAAAATGGGACCTCGCTCCACTACTCAAAATGTGCAAAACGAGAGTAAATCTTCCACCAGAACATTGGAAAGATACATCGTCATGATTTTTGTCTTTTGTGCATGTTGAGAGTAGTGGACCGAGACCCATGGTCCAAATTTTTAGGGAACGGGGTGTTGTACGGAGAAAAAATAAAAAGTAAAGAGCATCTATTGCAGTCAGCGGCGCTCTTGGCAGAGAGATTTACCAAGTTTCTCGACTGAGCTGCCTGCCGTTCGCTTTAAAGTTTAAACCACCAGTACACAGCCCCAGTGAAGTTGAGAATCCGACTGACCCTCTCCTAAAATTTTGGAGGCTCGCGCGTGCCGTTGATAACATGCATTGGCAATGAGCGGCCTTGGAAAGAGGCCGGCAGCCGATGGCTGGCATGTGCTGGTCCTTACACAACACAATGTCACCAATCGGCCACAAAATCGCAAGACAGTTGAACTGTCCATTCGAAATTGGTCATCATCCAGGAACATCACATTGTCAGATTCACCTCCCAAGCCGCACGATCCCGGCCCAAACGAGGATATATCCCCTCTCCTCCCTGCTTTGAAATGGGATTCACAATAACTAAGCCAAGTACGGCATACAGATAGCAGCAAGAGACAATTCTACGTTGCCACGCAATTGACTGCTATTCACTGGAGATGCGTAGTCGCATGCCGGCAAAACCAACGCATCATTGGCACCATTCTACTCGACATGCAGACCATCCTCCACCATGCATTGATGCAACAAAACATGCCATCGTCATAGTTGTTCAAACATCAATGCCAACGTACGAAAAAAGCAAACAGAGTAGGTACGAAAAGCAGCAGGGGAAACAGGAAAAAAAAAGTTAAAAAAGAGACATCACACAGAACAAAATCGATGGGGCCACAAAATATTTGAGCCTTGAACAACAGGATTGCCAAGGAGGAGTTAGTAGGCCATCATAGATGCTTTCACCTGTACAGCAAGCAAGTCCATAGATGCTTTCACCTGTACAGCAAGCAAGTCCTACCATCAGGCATACATAGACAGCAGTACAGCCAAGTCAACATGACAAAAAGAACAGATAACAAAGACGAACAACCATCCACCAGCAGAAAAAAACATACCTTCCACTGGCTTCCAGCAAGGAGGGGGGGGGAGGAGGGATCCAAAAGGAGAAAACATCCAGCCGAAAAAAAAAAAAAAAAAAAAAAAAA